TATTAGCATCCTGCTCCTCCTTTATTTCAATGAGTCCTTTGCCCCCGCCGCTCGCCTGAGCACCGGCTCGCCTCTTTGGGGCCCCTATCGAGAGGGGTGGCTCTTRATCATCCTTCTCTACTCCTCTTTCACCCTGGTCAGTCGGCTTACTTGGGGAGTCTTCTGAAATCTTCCGCTTGCCTTTCCTGATCTCCTCCAGCCGTGCTAACCCCTCTTCCAATGCCCCTACTTGTCTTTGTAGCCCACTCAACTCTGCCTGTGATGGCGCGCCCGCACTTGGCGGCACAGAGCATTCCCCACGTTGGCTCTCCACTCCGTCTTCAGGGAATCTTAACCTTAGGGAACTCTCCAGCTCATCCCACGTCTTCGCCTCCTGCTTAAGGGCATACACTTCCTCGCTCAGCTCTTCACAAACAAACAAGGGGAACATGTACCACATCGCCCTCTTATTCYATTTCTTCATAAGGCAAAAATCATGAAAGTCGCGCAAAAAGCTAGCGAGGTTCCTTCCTTRGAACAGCAAGACGCGCAGATCTGGGGGCATTGACTCCTGCAACACTTCGTGCAACAGCACCTTCATGAGSCACGAATTCCTCCAGCGCAGGATTTTGGCGAGGCCGCATTCTTCCGCCATGATGCTGACAACAGCCTGATACGCATAGCGGGCAATAGACCATCGAACAAATGATTCAAGTAAGCTCAGGCGGATAAAGATTGACCGCTAACACTTACATCATGTTATCTACCCCTTTACTCATGCAATCAGGCCTCAACCCCTAGTTACCCTGACGCTTACCCTTACAACTACGTCAATGGGTAGTGAGGCGACCCCAACTAAGTCGAAAAAACGCATTTTAATGGAGAAAGAGGTATTCCCTATCGGCCCACTGCTGCCCGTAGCCCACCCCAGTCTTCAATTTTCTCATTTGGATCATGTGAAATGGCATATACGTCCACTATATTGGCTGTATTATTTAGCTCCTGACTAGAGGGTGAGAACTTCGGATCTAAGTACAGACCGTATATCAGTTCACACGTATAGCGTCCATACTCCCAGTCTCGCACCCTCATAGCCGCTTCAGCTGCCGCCTCTATCTTCGCCTACCCACCAAAACTCTTCTCTATGAGGAACTCAGGCAAAGTGGCTCGCAGCAAAGTAGATGGAGGCGCAAACTCTCCAGCGCACTTAACCTCTACACGGGTTAGTACGTGCTTTTCCCCGTCACGGGACACTTCCCTCGCCCACTTTGCTGCTGCTACCTCGGCTACCCTCAAAGGCTTAGCAAGCAGGCTTCCATGTCCTAGCGCCAACTCTATCCCATGCTTGACCCAAAAGGTGGCTAAGGCATACAGGGTCACCTTTACAATCGCGCATTCCTGCTGATCGTCGAACCCATACTCGATCYAGACAAAGACGTCCGTGCCCATTATCATGCCCGACCATGATGAAATTTACTCTCCTTCCCTGACCCGCCTGGGTAAAGACACTTCAAGCCCTCCCTCTTTCTCAATTGGCCTGAGCATACGCGGGTCTTCCCGTGCATAAGGCATCCTGAGTTGCCTTTGCTTTGTCTGGGTTCTGCACATCACAGACAAACGTCCAGCATGCGTCTTCCGTTATTAGACTGACTATCCCTGCTCCTCTGGGAAGAGCGACCCAACCATACAGACTCGA